CATTTCATATTAATTGTCGTTTAGTCAAAATAGAAAATTATATTTAAAAAAATGTTGATATTAAAATCAACAAATATTCAATGATATTAACAATAAATATATAACTGATATAATCCTCTATTTAAATATCACAAATCTATATTTATAATTTTTTATATGAATTTCTAATTAATTGATTTAATTATAACTCAAACCATTATAACTTAACTCAAAATTAACATAACTATTTTCAATACTGATTCTACTTATCAGTTTATGGACCGACTCATAATAAATCATAGACTGACTATCCGATAACTTATTAGAAAAATAAGTATTAAAGCCCACAGAACTGACCTGAGAATGGAGAATTGTATAACAGAAGACATAGTCTCGTAAAAGTACAAATGTGAGAGAAAAGTATAACAGATAATAGGAAAAAGACAATTATTCATCACTGTGGAAATTCATTTTCAACGTCTTTGAATTAGAAATACAAACAATACCCAGAAATTCCACTACAGATATCAATGAATTAAAATGAGGATAGAATGGCGTTTTAAAAGATAGTAAACTTTGTTCTTCTTCATACATTTTTTTTTCAAATTTTAAAAATAAAAAAATAGATACCGTTTTTTTAATTTAACAAAGTTAATTTTTTTTTTATTAAACAATATTATAGATTAAAAATGTTAAATTATATAAACAATTTAAATATTAATTCAAAATATAACACGTTAAAAAAATTTATATAATTAAATTAAAATGGATATATTTAATCATTTTTAAGTTAAGAACAAAAATAAAGGAGTAAAGTTAGAAAATTAAAAGCATATTTAATCTTTAAAAAAAATTTAAAAGGATAAAAATTTTAAGATGTAGTTATTTATTTTTTAAATTCTTTCTTTTTTTTTTCTAAAAATGATATTCTAACATTTTTTATATATCCTATAATTTTTTAAGCTAAATTTCATCTTTTTTTTTATCAGATTCTAGTAATTAAGAAGTAATTGCATATAGGAATTTCAACTACTTAAAATTTGCTTTGGACTAAGTTTTTATTTATTTATTTATTTATTTTGTTTTCTTTCTGACTTTGTATGCAAGTGTTAATATTTAAATGTTGAAGGAAAATTGTTATCTCAGATCATACGAATTTGATTTTCAAAGAATTAATGTGTTTAGATGTCTTTAGCATAAGCACTTAAGCGATAGCTTGGAATTTGGGAGATAAATAAATAGACATTTTTCTATCATTTAACATATGATCGTGATATAAATAGATAGTTTGAGTGAAAATTCAGAAATATTAATATAAGATGTCTAAAAGATATTAATATAAATTATATAACCCTACTATTCAATTACATTTTTAATTATTAGTATTTAAGCTTAATAATTGATAATTTTTCAAAAAGTATACTAAATCATTCCAAGTAATACAGTGAATAAGTAAAAGTATCGTCTCCGAAGGGACTTGCTAACAATTCTTCCTTTTATAACTCAATTACACGTCAAAATGCACAAAACAACACAAAAAACTATTTTTGGTATTTTATCAAACAGTTAGTGCGTAAGGAATTTTTATATAAAATAAATTTCGTTGGAATTGAGTTTCATGAATCATATAAATATAAAACTCTTTCAATATTTCATTACTTCATTCAAACATTCACATCAAGGCATACTAGTCCTAATCCCTCAGCAACTAGTTCTAAATTAATATATTAAAATGATAATCTCTTAGTCAATTTAACATACAATTTGCATTAAGTCCGATGTTAAGAATGATCTGAGTCTATCCTTAGATCCCAATCACTTAAGTGCTCTATCTACGTTCATGTTTAAAGTTACTTTCGAGTAATCAAAGACATTCATATAACATTATATTTTCATAGAACGATAATAAATTCAAGAAAGAGCACGAACAACGATGTATTGAGCAGGAAAATTAAATCATAGTGAGTTCATTACATCCAATCCCAACGAAACAGAAATTTAACTACTCTTAGTCATCTAAAACGTACACATTTGAAGCAATCTCTTGCAACAATAGTGTCTTGATGCCTTGACCGGAAGTTCATGAGATGTTTTCGTTTCTTTCTTTTGTCCGGAACTTCTGTTAGCAGAAAATTTTTTTGTTGCTCTGTCACGTCTTTTAAAGTCACTTAAATTCATTAATTCGCTCCGCGCACAGCTCTATGCAAATTTTCTTAACTGCTGCACTTTAACTGATGTTATTCGCTCAGGGCACAGTACTGGTGCGCTACGCGAATTTCCTGGCAGTGCGAATTTTGGTTTTCGTTTTGCGAAGATTGGCTGACAGAGTCTAAATAATACATAATTTTATGTACAATATTTTACATAACAATCTATTACCTATTACAATTTTTCAACGAAGAAACACGTGAATAATTACAAGATTAAGCTTATTTATAAGTATAAAAATAATTCTTTTTCACATTTATCAATAATAAACATTATTCTCGGAATTTTTATATTTCACGTTTTATTTTCTTTCTATAAAACATTATTCTCGGAATTTTTATATTTCACGTTTTATTTTCTTTCTATAAAACATTATTCTCGGAAATTTTCATGTTTTGTGAAGGAACAACCATATATTTTTCCTCCGAATGCGCCGCCACACCACGACATGAAAAACACCGCTCACACAGTGACGCGTGTAGCTCACCCATCAACTCATTCGCGCCATTTCGCTCCTCCCGGCACCTCAGCACTTCTTCCATATTATGGAAATCCCCAAACTACCCATCCCTAATTTTCATATTGCGTACGTGTCACTATTCCACTGGCTAGCATTTGCATGGGCCATGCAAAACCTAAACTCTATATATACAAACACACTCATCTCTCCAAATCTTTGCCTCGTCTCCACACAGAACAATAATCTTCATTTTCTTTCCATTTTTCTGTTCACTGTTTTTATTTTTAACTCAGATCCAATTAAAGCAAACTGTATTACCGATTCCATAACCTCTGTTTCTGGCTATTGTTACCTTTCTTCAAAACCAAAAGCCATGAGCCCTTCACACTTCCATTCAAAGAGAGAAATCACCTCCGCCAATAACAAGAACACCAATGGATTGCTACCACCACCTTTGAAAATCAGCAAGGAATCTCATTTCATAAAAAAGTCCTCATCTTCATCGTCATCATCAATATCAACATCGCTGGTTAACAGTGCAATGCCGGCATCATCGTACAGACCGCAGCAACAACGTCACCCGGTCATCATTTACACACATTCTCCAAAAGTTATCCACACTCAACCTAAGGATTTCATGTCATTGGTGCAAAAACTCACCGGCCTCTCTCGTTCGGATTCAGAGGACGAGGACGAGTACAACCCACCGCCGCTACAACCGTTGAAGCAGGAGTCAGGTGGTAACCTTGCGGCGGTGATGGGAGACAAGGAAAGTGATAGAGAAAGTATGATTATTTTGAGAAACGAGGAAAATGAGGCATCGTCGGTGATAACAGAAGAAAATAATTGTAGCAGCAGCATGGGAGAAAACCAAGTTAACTCTTGTTTCATGGCAGGGGAGGGACCGATTATAGAGCCTCCGATGACCCCTTACGTGACAATGATGGCGCCGAGCTCCACAAAGTTCGTGTGTTCGAGTCCGCCATTGATGAATTACTCAGATTCTTTGTTCTTCTCACATAACTTGAGGGCCTCTATTCCATCACCGGCCACATTGGAAGGAACGAAAGAGTTTCGTGATCGCTGATTATAGTTTAACCTTTTTTTGTTTGAGTCAATAAAGGTTCTAGTTTTTTCAGGATAGAACTTCATTTTTTTAAGAATTATAAATGGTTTTTGTTTTTGTAGAAAAGTTGTATCTACAGGAATTTTTACAGTCGTTACTTTCATACCCAGTTTCATAGAATTTTAATTCAGAATAATAAAGAAAGATATAGCTTTCTATGTGATATGTTTGCCATGCATGACATGATCCTTTCTTTTACAGCTTCAGAAAACTTCCACATGTTTTGTGGATCATGTTGGTTTCATACGTAAATGTTTTTATAATTTGTGAACAAGTATACTTTTAGAAAAAAGACAATGTGAATCATGAAGCTGAAAAAGTTATGTTCTCAAGTATTAGGTGGTTTCCACGAGTTGCAAATATTTCAGAATCTCACCTAATTTTTCTGTGTGGATAATCAAATATAAGAAAGAATAGTTTTTTCTTTTGTTTAAATTTGAAGTGTTAGAACATAACTGATAGGCCACAGTTATAAAGGAACAAGACGCGTGAAACAATGGCAGCAATTAAAATAGCTTGCCCCAACAGTATATTATTCGAACGTTGTTTTGTTTGTTTTAAGCAAACATGCATCACTTTTAGGAAAGTCGCACATATGACACAATAAACAAATAATGAAGACGAAAGTTTATATTTTGGGAGGACCACAGTTTGTGAATCAGAAGTTTAAACTAAGCTGTCATTTTATTTTTGGCATATCTAAAGATAACTTTGAGGTGAGAATTTTCCCGTAATGTATATATCATTATGCTATCAACAAATCATTATTAAAATCATAACAATTTCAAATACTGGAAAATATATATATCTTAAAAGATTATTTAGTTGTTACAAATTATTCATGTTTGCAAGTAGAATGAAATCTGTCAAAATCTTTGGATGCACACTACACTGTATAGATATCTCCTCCGAATATAGTTTTATTCCGTGACATCACCAACTTATTTAATAGACACTATACAACCCAATATCTTGAACCTAAATTACTTAGTCATACGTCAGCTAATATTAATTATTTAATTATGCATTTCTCAGCAACTAAAAAAATCTATGCATTTACAGATTTAAATTTTATTTGTTGACAGATAACATATATACATACATATATATACATATACATACATATATATATATATATATATATATATATATATATATATATATATATATATATATATGTGTGTGTGTGTATGTTTGTGCTTTTTCATGATTGGATGTTATGCAAGAGTTTTACGTAGGAAAGTGTAATTGCATTTTCTAATTAATTAATTTGCTTCCACACATCTCTATATACAAGAGAAAAGCAATATTAAACAAAAACATATACACAGAACATTTAACCATGCAACAATCTATTTTTTCTTCTTTTCCTCTTTATCTCTTTCAATTGTAACAGGAGCTGCTGGTACGCTGAACCACCATTCCTTTAATCTCCTCATCAATCTCTCGGTGCTAGTTTTCCTCAGAGGCGAATATCTTGTGAATATCTCCAAGAAGAGTAGCAAAACTATGTATTTATAGGGCATGAAAGCCAAAATCAAGGCTGCTGATAGAAGGCAAAAGGCCAACTTCTCTGTGGCCTGATAACCATATAAATGGAACCAGGTATCATATATTGGATGAAATACTCAAATAACATTTTAAGAAGTTTTTCACTGTCAACCCATCAGAGATATGACTTTTAAGACAGTTTTTTATGAAATAAGGACTTATCATAGAGAGAAACTATGGTTGGAATGTGTACACAGTGTGTATTATTCATTAAGAATTGAATATTAGCAAAAGGGAAAGAATGAGACAGCACCTGAGGAAAAATGGACAGCAACAGGCCGCGAAGCTTGAGCAAAATTACGTTGCCGTCCTGGATGAATTGTTCAGCTTGAGAGACAGCATTCTGAACGGCCAAAAGCTGTTCCATTGTATTCATTGGGGGAGGAGCAATTACTTTAACTTCGGGAACTGACCTACCTTGGCTAAACCATCGGGTAATTATCATAAAAACAGCAAATAACATAAGCATCAGTGATGCAGCATAGCCAAGCCAATTCCTGCAATAATCCGATTATCTAAGTTAATGAAACAAGGGAAATCTGTCATCACAACAAGCACCAAAAAGAAAGCTGAAAATGAGAACCGAAGGGCTTATTTTGTTTGAATAAAACAGAGAAAAGTATTTTTTTAAAAATCAAACAAGTTCTGAAGTATTCAGTATTTCTGTGTTTTTCACTCACATAAAATATTTGGTATTTCTTATATGTTTAAATTATCAAAACAATGAAACAGCAAATACAATTGGATTTTCACATGAATCACTAAATATGCCAACTCAGAAGGTGCAAACAAGCGTATCATGCCTCCCTATAACAAAATCTTTTCCACCCTCCAACTTTAACAACCACAACGGATCTTCGGCTGGCAATAGAACACCACCTAGAATAGGATTTTTCACCTTCTTTTTGTTATAAATAAAGGAAGTTTTGATCATTGTAACGAGTTCTTTTCATATGAAAACATGTACAAAAATACTGACTAGGCAATAATACCAAAGATTATGAACTAGATAAATGGAGTACACCAAATTCGTGTGTAGCACTATGATTGCAATGAAGACAGTTCGGGGGGAAGAGGTAGAGAGGAGAAGGGTGTGTTAGAGCCTGGCATGTTAAATGGAGAGGTGTACTGGTAAGGCAGATAACATTGGTTTCCAGATCAATTTATGAGAAAATCATTGTAAGGGAATATCACAGTTGTTATAAATTAGTTTGAAAATTGCTTAGATATGATTCATATGAATCATGTTAAAATATCAAGAAAACATTTTGTAATACTATTAATGTATCAGAATATTTTTACATGATCTTTTAGCATGGGTTTTCTCAAGGAACCCAAGATTAATATATAATTAGACGCTGGTGCTGTCTTCTATATTACATCAAATTGCATCAGTCCAGATCAACAACAAGTTCACATTATTCAATCTCTATTACGCTTCCCCCCTCTACATTAAAGGCCTACAATTTCAACAAACCAAACATATAACTTCAGAATCTATGAATTCTTACCAAGCTACATACATGCTTATTCAATGTTGATACTTGGTAGGAAAAGTTTTGCTGGTCATAGTTCTACCTAAGCGGAGTCCAAATATGGTGTAAAACAAACCCAAGAAAGAATTCTTGTTCAATGCTTATTGAGTTATTCGCGTTCAATGTTTATTGAGTTATTCTCAACACCATTTATTATTACAATAGTATCCCATAGCAAATCATCCAGAATTTCCCCCTGAAAATAACTTGTCAAATTTCTATAACAATTTCATAAAAAATATATTTTCTATCTCCTGCCTCTTGACAAAAAACAGATCAACAGAATATTACTTGATTTAAAGAAGTTTTACCGGTAAATGATGTAACTGAAAAACAAACAAAACCCTGAAGACTTCCTTAGATCATCCCAATATGCCAAAGCTTGAAGAGACTTCCAAAGTTCATTTATAGGAAAAAGTAACTCCTGAAAGTAGATGAAATTATAAGTATCAGAATAGGATAATACTTAAGCTAGGTTAACTATTCTAAAATTTATCATTCTACAATGTATAACAGTTTGACTAAAGGGTTATAAAGAGCATACTAAAATAGTACCTTCATGACAGCTAAATTAGTGTCAATACCGTCAACTTTAACACCATCAACTGTAGCTTGTGCAGATATAACCTTTTTATGATTGTTCTTAGATTCTTTAATCGCTATTTCCAATTCAGTCATTTCTCCAACAGATATTTCACCCACAGCAATCCTGCTCTCATTTGAGTTGTTTGAACTTGTTCCAAATACAAATCCTAAGTTAGAAACCATGTCCAAGGCTGAGATAGAACGCATTCCACCACCATCCTTGAAATCATTCTCACGATCTGACTCTCTTCTGTTTGCCATATTTGCAAGGGTTTCTAATACCAAGTCTCCACCTGGAAGCTGATCACATAAATTAAACATGAGAAGAGCATCATTCTGTACAGGAATCGGGGAACTAATATCCTGAATAGCTTGTAAACGCAAAATTCCTAAAACAGCCTTCCAAAGCACTTCATCCCGTGCAACCCCTTTAATTCCATATTTGCTTATGAATTTGTGAACATACAGAATCTCTTGGATGATAGCTAACCAATAATCACGACGTGCATGACCTTTAAGTTCTGGAAACTCTAGTATAACAGGTTCTGATCTACAAGAGAAGTACTTTTGAAAGTTAATAACAAGACAAATTTTCAGCAGTTATAATTGTTAAATTACTTACAGGGAAGATGAACTATAGAAGACTGCCTTGTCAAAAAGTCGAGTACCCCATGGTCCAGTCAACTCAGGTTTAACAACTTGTTTAAGATCTTCTGACAAGTCGTATCTTTTTGGTTTATCATATGATACAACACGAAGTGCTTCGAAATGAAGTGCATGATCTGTCAGGATTAACCTTCCTGCATCATGCCACAAAGAGAAAAGTTAAGAATAAACAATGTATACTCGTACTTTATCACTAAGTATATATAATAAATTGGTGGGGCATGTGCTTAAGAAACATAGCTAATAAATTTATCCTTTTCCCACACTTACCAGGCCAGGTTGATATTCCTACATGCTCAAGGACTGGTTGTGTTGTGACTGTTCCATCAACCTCGAGAATCTTCTCTTCTCTAGAGAATCTTACAGCAGCCAATAGAGACGACTCAGAATTGCTCTTCATTTTTCTTATAGCTCTGTTAAATAAACATAACAATTAAATAATTTATGCAAAAAAAAAATTGTGCATACCACTGATCGCATACTAAATAATGCAAGAAAACAACAGACTGTTGCATCAGAGACTGACGCAGATAAATACAGAAGCTCCCTCTCTGAAATTAAAAAATATAAAATAAAAAATTAAACTGAAAATGTTATTGAATAATTTTGGCGTGTGATTAGAAGCAATGAACCTGAACTTCAGTCCACAAGCCGGAGTCAGAATAACCATCACAATTATGTGCATACACTAGCCTAAATTTTCATTACAAACTTAATAAGGTGTTCGAGTGCTAATAGGGGAGAAAGGCTTTCTCAAATAATAAGCATGACTGTCGTGAGTCTTTAAACAACACCATCACCTTTTACCGATGTTAAAGGATACAGTAAAACTGCACTAACCCTTTTCCTGTTGTTAAGGAACCTAGAAGAGGCTTCTCAGTTTTCAGAGAAAGAAATATAAAGATGGGAAAAAATACTTCAGTAATCTTTATTGAATTATAAACAAAGAAGCTACGGATAAATTCTCCTTCTAAGGATTTTCCCTTTCAACAATAGAGCTAAAGCCCAGTTCTCAAATGATGACCAAACAGAATGCCCACGCTTCTATCCCCTCCTTCTATTTATGCATTGAAGGTACAACCCGAGAAATTTAGAGATTATAAATAAGAGTGTAGAAAATAAAGAAAGGTACTTTAAATAATAGAAGTTGAAGATTAGAAAAAAATAGAACGTTATGTTTTAAAACCACTTGAGATATTATAGGGAGCACTGCTTAGTTGGTTTCTTTTAGTTATAATATAATTTATTTTTAAAAGATAAAAATGGATTTATAAAATGAGAAATAGAAATAGAAGAAAGGGAAAGGGGAGCATAGAGAGATAGCTATGTAAAAACTGAGAGAAAGAAAAAGGGAGCACGGTGAGACACATAGATTCAAGAGGAGAAAATTATTTTTGAGAAGATAGCAAGAATCTGTGATTGATTGATCTTTATCATGAAGTTTTATAATTGACTAAGGTATGGGAAGCTTACCTTTGTTTTATTGTTTTATTGTATGATGAATTTGGAGATATCTCTGATTTTTTTGGATGTATGGGAAAATCCTCTTTTATTATTGATAATTGTAGTTGCTAATTTTAAATGCTTTGAAGAACAGTGTGATGTGTGTGCTCTAATTGGATGATTCATGATGTTTCCTTTTTCTCTCTAAACAAATTTGAAAAGATAAATTTTTAAGAAGACATTTAATTAGATTTATGAACAGATTAAAATTAGCAATTACAATTATCAATAATAAAATAGGATTAGCTTCCCATACATCCAAAAAAAATCAGACATATCCCCAAATTCATCCTACAATAAAACAATAAAATAAAGTTAAGCTTCCCATACTTAGTCAATTATAAAACTTCATGATAAAGATCAATCAATCACAGATTCTTGCTATCTTCTCAAAAATAATTTTCTCCTCTTCAATCTATGTGTCTCATCGTCCTCTCTTTTTCTTTCTCTCAGTTTTTCCGTAGCTATCTCTATACGTTCCCCTTTCCCTTTCTTCTATTTCTATTTCTCATTTTATAAATCCATTTTTATCTTTTAAAATTAAATTATATTATAACTAAAAGAAACCAACTAGGTAGTGCTCCCTATAATATCTCAAGTGGTTTTAAAACATAACGTTCTATTTTTTTCTAATCTTCAACTTCTATTATTTAAAGTACCTTTCTTTATTTTCTACACTCTTATTTATAATCTCTAAATTTCCCGGGTCTTACATTTAACCTAATTCCCTGCCTCTACAACTTTAACCAACAACTATTTCTAATTACCAACTACTCTAATCTATCATCTTCCGAGTGCTGTTGGCACAAACATTAAATCTAAGGGTCCATAAATTTCTCCAAAACTACTTCTGAAAAACTGCACTTAATTTTAAGTAAAACTAAGAAAATTTAATGATTTTTTTTCAATATCTATGCTATTAATGTTGATAGGAACCAAGAAATGAGAATGGGAAAGAAATGTCAGATTTTATTAAATAGGATGAAAAGAACAAGAAATAGAAGGAGTACTTGGAAAGCAAAGATGCCTTACTAAAAAAATTGCTGATTTATGTAGTATATTCTTGTGTGATTTGGAAAGTCTTCCCGATTAAGTGCATATAGCTACTAGTAGAGTAGCCAAAGTAGAAGGGGTAATTGCAGAGATGTCAATGTCATGCCTTCGATCATAGCTATACAAAGCCTTACTACTGACCTATATAAGTAAAGAAGAATAGTATTGTCTATATTCTTGTAAGCCAACCCTCCCACAGTTTCATTCTCTTATAAATCCATAGGATAATCATTGCAAAGAATAGACAGAAGGGATTCCACTAAATTGTTTCAGAAAAATTTACTTGAAACATCAACAAGAATAAGTAAAACTGAGCAGTACTATCTATATTCTTGTAAGTCAATCCTCCCACAGTTTCATTCTCTTATAAATTCATAGGATAATCATTGCAGAAAATAGATGGGAGGGATTCCACTGACCACTTCAAAAAGTTAAGAACAATTAGAAGGAACTTAAACAATGCATAACACTTAAACTATAATACTTGAAGTAAAAATTGTGTCTAAATTTTGCCCGAAAATTTCACTTTCACGCGCTAAAAACTAAAATGTCTTTATCCTTTTTAGAGCCAGGGTAGCAACTCAGCCAACATTTTTGCGCTTCTCTCCCCCTTAGAAGCAGAAATTAAGCCAAAAAACAATTTAACAAAGCTCTTAAAAAATAAAAGTAGTTTTTTGGTGAACAAAAGCCCAAAAAAAACAGAGCTGCTATAGAAGCTAATTATAGGAATTTATATTTTAAAGAAATAAAGCCCATATTGCTAGGTCTAACACTACCTAAATAGAATTTTATAAAACTAGGGTAAGAGTTGATAATCGATCTACCCATCTATATATCCAGTCAATTTCCTTTTAAACTATGAATCATGTCTGAAAGAAAATTTGTCAACATTCCTACTGACAAATATGTCCTATGCCCTGCCCCCCAAAAAAATGAAGAAATAAAATGAGAAAAAAAGAATCAAACATGCCCATACATAAAAAGCAGGAAAAATGGCCAGTATAAATGAAACTTGGAAGTCAAAGGAATACCAGACAAGAAAAAGATACATTATATTTTTAACTTTCAAGGAATAATTTCAAACCTTTCTAAGCCACTGAGGTACTTGTCATAGATGGGGAACTGAAGGCGACCATCAGTTGATGAACTCAGCGCCTCAAAAAGATTTTCACTAATGATGACATCAGCAATGATAGGAATTGAAGGGGCTATTCGACAGAAAGCTTCTAAACCAACTGATACCTCCTCGTCAACCTTCTAGAATGTTTGACAACCGTCAATATTCAGAAAGACCAAATTACTAAAGATAACACAAACTAACCTATAGTATGCATATAAGAGACATATATAGATCAATAAGAGGATATAAACTTATTAATTATATCTATTTGTATGCATATAACAATGGAAACTCACAAACTATCAAGTTCAGAGAAGACCAGAGAAGATATTTTGAGTATAATTTCTGGTCATCCATAGAAATGAACAGAGATAACTAACAAAGAAAGAAATATATTAATACACTTAAGAATTCTAGTTATTCATTTCTTTGATCCATATTCCCCATTTTATTGTATAAGGCCCACCAGTCTTAACAGCAAAAAGGGCATTTGTGTAGTCTGAAAAACATACACTGGTTAAAGGTTGGCTGTCAGCAGCAGGGACTTCCCAAGCCAACATCATGTCGAATGTCAAACGCCGGAATGTTTTATCAAAGAGATGACCAGTCATTTGTGTAGTCAGGAAAAGTGCCTTGAAACAACAATATTCCAATAAATGCCTTGCATATCGTGATGGATGCTTTATAGAATCAGAAGCCTCCTGATTGAAGCTCTCCTGAAGATCAATTGAAGAGGTCTTAAGGATTCTGCATTACAGTTGAATTTCCAATCAACTTGTGTCAAACAAAAAACAGGGGAAGGTCCAATGCTACCAATTACTCATACAAAATCCAACATAACTAAAATTTGAAAAATGATTATGAAGCAACAATTCCCGAGTAAACAAGCTAATTTGTACAGAACCGCACTTACTTTGAGCATCTACGAACAACTAGGTTTGCAACAGGAGAGAGCTCTCGTATAAAATTCCTCCCAGCAGAAGGAGAATGTTCCATCTCTTCCAATTCTTCATCAAAGTAACTTTTCTTGCCAAGCAACCATTTAAATGACCCTTCTTTTACCAAACCTTCAAACATATTTCTGGTTTTGCCGCCTACAGCCATCTGTTTTCGCCTCACGATCTTATCGGGACTGGCAAAAAAGATATCCCACATCAATCGATCTTAAAGTTATTGTCTTTACTGAAACATAAAGGTTACCAATAAAGAAGTCCCACCACATTGAATCCTCAAAACTATGAAACCAAACTACCAAGTACCAACCCAAAATCGCTCAACCTATCCAACCCCATCTGCATGATTTAAAGATATTTCAGTTGGAACAAAGTGGTCACACTTTCACACTACAAACAATTCTTACAACGGAGAACAAAATTCTAATAAACACTTCAAGAAAAAAAAATGAACTAGACTTCTTCCATTAAAAAAACTTAATTCGTCTCATCTTTATCTTTTCGAGAATTCGGATGAGAACGTTGCCACAGAATTGAAGTCCATAAGTTAATCTGTGAAGCATTTCAAAGGTACTGTAATTTCTAAAAGATCAAGGTATCACTAACTAACAGAATCAAAAATGCAAATTGAGGATAAATAAACCACGAGGGGTGCATCACAAAAAGAGTGTTTAACTATTTCAATTTTGAGAGAAAACAAACACGAACAATTTCGATTTCACTTGAACAACCTCATATATTATCATCGCCCTCCTAAATTCATACAAACAAATGAATAAGACAGACATTCAATCAGACCGACATTGAATCAGAGGTGACCCCAACAAGCTGCACCGAACAAAACCCAAGTGACCCACCTCTAACCGCATAAAAATCTCAACTTTGACATATGGGCTAGCTTGAAATCGACACATGTTTTACGATCTCAGATAGCGAAGGAATTGAGAACCACGTCATTGCCACAAAACAATCGAAAAAGTGGAAAACTTGGATCATTAGAAAGAAAAGAATCTGAAGTTGAATTGATTGAGGCTGATGAAAGAAAGAATGTTCAGTGATGGATAAGCAGAGAGGGAGAGGGAGAGAGAGAGAGAAAGGTTTTATCTTTCTGAGAGAAGTATTGGAGCCCGTACCCTGTACAAGGACATAATCAGCAGGAGCCAGATGCAGGAAAAGAAAAATTTAGATATTATTTCAATTTATGATAATTTAAATATTAACATTTTTCATATAATTATAACTTATTATGTAGGGTATTTTATTTTATTAATATTTTCACTAATTAATTTAAAAATCATATTAAATAAATTAAGATTAAATGGTAATAACTCTTTTTACATAATTATGATTCAGCTTTATAATTCTGTTTGAGTTTAATTTCTCTATTTTCAAACTAATATATTATAAATAAGGTTTAATCATTCACTAAGTCCCTATTTTCGCATGAAATCTCAATTTAGTCTCTTTCTTTCTGGAAATATCAATTGGGTCCCAAATTTATGAAAATTGCAACAAATGGATCCTTTCCGTTAAATTGTGTCCAACGTCGTTATGGTTTGTTTGTCGTGGCACGCTGTTGTGAACTTCTTATCTGACGTGGTTGATTCAAGCAGTAGCAGTGAAGCACGTGGATATTTACAATTTTTTAAGTAAAAAGAAAAGAATTGTTTTAAAAGGGGATTCAAGTTTTGTGTGGATCGAATTAGGGATCACTTTCAAAACTGCAGCAAACAAGAGAAAGGCTTAAACTTTGCAACAATGGAAGCTTACGAGAACGAATCGAAGAAGGGGTTCTGGAATGCGGAGGAAGACTCGTTTAATTTGTTCTGATTTTGATTGTAGGGTTGAAGAGAAGCGGCAAAAGTTGCAGACTGAGATGGATGAATTATCTGAGGGTGATTGCAAAAGCGGCTAAAGCGACAAGAAGCTTGGTGTTGATAAGAAGGGAAAGAGAAAAGCTTGTGTGACTGCAAAATATATCCCTGGAGTTGAAGCTTAGGGTGATTGCAACAGTGCATCATCAATGGAGAGGAGTGGCGAAGGTGAGAAGCTTGTCCATGAATAATCCCAATCCCTAATTCCTAATAGTGTGTTTTATCTGTGCACTTCTCCTTACTGCACTCAGAATAATCCCATTTTGGTTTAAAACAATTATTTTCTTTTTATTTAAAAAATTTAAATATCCACGTGCTTCACTGCTACTGCTTGAATCAACCACGTCAGATAAGAAGTTCATAACAGCGTGCCACGTCAAATACACCCTAACGCCGTTGGACACAATTTAACGGAAAGGATCCATTTGTTGCAATTTTCATAAATTTGGGACCCAATTGATATTTCCAGAAAGAAAGGGACTAAGTTGAGATTCCATACGAAAATAGGGACTTAGTGAATGATTAAACCTATAAATAAAGGATGACGAGAAGTAGTCAAGTAACCAATACATTATTTTTAAATCATTAAAGTTTTTAAGCTTCAATTACAAATTACTTATAAAAATTACAAAATTTTTAAACTTGTATTATAGATTGCACATAAAATATTATTTTGAATTACATAAAAAAATTATAAATTCAAACACATCTTTTTAAGTGATAAAGATTACATAAGTTATGGTGATCTTATTCAGGTGAGAATGAGGCAAATATCAACTTTTTTTTCTGCATGAATTTCGTTTGAGTGGTTCCATGTGATAAACTTGATTTGATTATAAGTTGATAAATATTTTATGTGATTAATGATAAATCATAAATCATTAATTATACATTGTGAATATGAATAATTTAAGAGTAATTAATGTGTAAGGTTATCATATTAAATATGTAAATAGTTATAAAAGAGATACCTTCATGTAAAAATTAAGTTATAAGATTAATCAAGACATTTAACTGAATAACATAAGCATTAAATTATATCACTATAAAAATCATTAAATAATAATTAATTTAAAAAATGACTAATTTAAATATTAATTTATAAATTAATGATTATTAATCTTTAAAATAGTCTTTATTATATATAAAAATTATAATTAATTATCAACTATGTAAGGCCTTGAATACTCAACCAGCCTCCACATGTCAAATCACGTATTAATACCCAAGAAACCTATTCATAATTTGTATTAATAAACGTACCCAACCCCACACTCTAACCATCATTAAATGCACTCGCGCTACACGTGCAGTGCCATTAAAACGCACTCACACCCACTCTGCATGCAATTGCCAAGTGTCATTTTTGGAACATTCGAAATCGTTAGTGGAGTACAAGTGGCAGCAGGAGAATGGACGCTCGTCCTACGTGGGAAAGGAAAATGATTTTTCTGAAAAACTCTTCCCACTCTTCTGCATGCTTCTTCTTCTTCCCCAAAACTCTGATCTTCCAAATTCTCTGCCTTCTCTCTAGAAAACCTCCATCTTCTCTCTACCATAACTCACTTTCTTCTTCTCCGATCCAATTTCAGAGACCGTAGAAGTTATCCAGACGTTTTAAGCTTTTCATCAAACCGAACAAGTTCAAGTTTTGAATCTGGTAAGTTCGTCCCTTAGTCGTTCATTATTAGGTTTCATGCAAAACCAAACCTGGTTACCTGCATTCTCCTTGTCTGAATCAAACTTTTATTCTTAAATGGTTTTAGTTCGCAAGAGTTGAGTGATCTGAGGATAGAAGTGGTAGTTGGGCGAATCCAGAATTTTGGCACGTTAGGACGTTCGTTCACGAATCCAGGTAAGGGAAGCTTATTAAGTTTAATTCATGTGTATGTGTTGTGATGTATGACGTATGTGATTTTGTGAAGCATGAAATCTGTATGACTGGATCTTGGGTATATGATTTTGACTGTGAAATGATGTATGATAATTATAAAATGTGCTATTGTATGATTAGTTAAATGTATGAAAGTATATACTGGAAGATGAGTTTACTGTAAGTGAGATTTTGAATATGAAATTCTATGATAATGAACGTTCGTTATCGGACGGTCCTTGACCGTTCGGTATTTGTATAATTCCTTTGAAAAGCAGAATTCTTTCATCTGGAAAGAATACTTAATTAGGACGAACGCCCTATTATATTAATCTTACGTTTGAGCGTTCGGCCAAACGTAGGTGCTCTGAGTGTTAGGTGAGAAATTGAGAAGTTTGAAAAATATAAATTCTATACTTAGTCATTCTGGAATATTTCATTTCCCTATTGTTATCTATTAAATTTCTATTTCTATTAATATTTCGCATCAGTAATGAGTCTCGTCCCAAAGCGTACGTCCTAAGTGGCGCTCGGTCTTATATCGAACGCTCGCCCCAAAGCGTACGTTATAAGTAGAGCTCGGTCTTATACTGAATGTTCGTTCTTCATTCTTAACTACTAAATGGGTAGAAATAGCGTTCGTCCAAAAGTTTCAGTAACGTTCGTCCAAAACTTCAATAAATATCCATTTCCTCGTTCGGTCATTGACTGGCGGTTAGTCTCTGTGATCAAATTGTACTCTGGAACAGTACCCAAACACCTTGCGGTGTCCCTATTCATTTGGATTCGATCTTTAGTTAGTGTGCTTAAAATTATTCTAAATATTATTTGAATTGTTCTAGAATCAATTCATTTAATTGATTCAAGTGGTCACAACGTTTGTCATTGGAAAGGTGTTCGTTTCATTCTATTCAGAAACGGTAGTCACCCAGTATCTTGTTGGCGTTCGTCCTCATCCTGAAGAGGGCAGAACGTTCGTCTTTTTATGAAACTAGAACGGAATATGAAAATGATGTTAAGTTGGAAAGTTATTAAGAATGAACGGTATATGAGATGGATGAGTGATTGTGGATTTTGAACGAGCGTTCCAAGGAGGAATGTCTCATGAATTGAATATGGAAAGTTGTATAGTATGACTGTGGTAAAGCTGCTGATGGCAGTTCATCCTGATGTTTCGTGAGTGCTCGTCCTCAAGTAGAGGGGGGTAGGTCATGTGTGCGAACGGCAGGAGGTCCTAGTCCTTCTGAGTACTTTGGACTGATAGGGCTAACCTCGGGTGGCAGCTGTTGTGTGTTTATCAGTTACTACATCACCCGGGTGCACGAACGCCTGTAGATACACAGATTCATACAGTCCGGACGGTCTGTCTTATGATATTATAATTTGGGAAATTTTATGTTTTGAGATATTTTTATGAATGTTGATATAGTGATTTGTATGAATGATGCCTGAATTAAATTTATATAAGCTTACCCTGTGTTCTTTCCTTGTGTTGTCGTCCGTACCTGTACGTCCGTCATGTCTATGCAATGATCATCCGTGTGGATGTGAGCAGACGGAGAGGCGTTGCTTGAAGAAACGCTGGAAGAAGAAAACTTGGAAGACGCCAATCTGGTTGAAGTAGAGGTTAAAGCCGAGCCCTAGAGCGCTCGTTAAGTTTTAGTATTTAGTATATCTGTTTAGCTTGCTGAACGTTCGATTAATTGGTTTTGNACAAGAAGCTTGGTGTTGATAAGAAGGGAAAGAGAAAAGCTTGTGTGACTGCAAAATATATCCCTGGAGTTGAAGCTGAGGGTGATTGCAACAGTGCATCATCAATGGAGAGGAGTGGCGAAGGTGAGAAGCTTGTCCATGAATAATCCCAATCCCTAATTCCTAATAGTGTGTTTGATCTGTGCACTTCTCCTTACTGCACTCAGAATAATCCCATTTTGGTTTAAAACAATTATTTTCTTTTTATTTAAAAAATTTAAATATCCACGTGCTTCACTGCTACTGCTTGAATCAACCACGTTAGATAAGAAGTTCACAACAGCGTGCCACGTCAAATACACCCTAACACACAATTTAACGGAAAGGATCCATTTGTTGCAATTTTCATAAATTTGGGACCCAATTGATATTTCCAGAAAGAAAGGGACTAAGTTGAGATTCCATACGAAAATAGGGACTTAGTGAATGATTAAACCTATAAATAAAGGATGACGAGAAGTAGTCAAGTAACCAATACATTATTTTTAAATCATTAAAGTTTTTAAGCTTCAATTACAAATTACTTATAAAAATTACAAAATTTTTAAACTTGTATTATAGATTGCACATAAAATATTATTTTGAATTACATAAAAAAATTATAAATTCAAACACATCTTTT